TTGTGACTGGATTGAATTAAACCAGAGAATGTCACCTTTGTAAGAGAGACTACTAATACAATTTGAAGAAAAAGTTGTGTTAGGAATGTTGTCAAAGCTATTCACTAGATTTACTAAAAGGATTTCTTAGGTCAGGTTTCGTCAACTTATCTAAAACAGTTACTAATTGTAAATTTTAATTACTATGTTATCTTGCCAAATGAAAAACCTTAAGGAGGAAAACGTGTAGTGTTTTGTTCCTCATGGTGTGGAGTTTTGCTCCAATATCTTGGGAAAAGCTGATGACAGCATGAAAAAAATCAACTTTTCATCCCGGTTTACAGTTTGAATGTCTCTGATTACAGCATCCGGTGGTTTGGTAAACTTTTTGTGTGATCCATACATTAGGCACAAGATGTGTTTTTAAAATTTATCTAGTTTCAGCTTATTGGGCTTTAGGAACGGAGAAGTTGTCATTTTTGTACTTTGATGCAAAAAAGTTGGATTACAGGAATGTAGAATAATTTATGGCTTTGTCTAGTCTAGAGATGGATAACACGAACTCAGAAACAATGTACAGAGTTATGATCTAACAACAGATGTATTATGGTTTTTTCTAGAAATGTAACTTCTTTTCTACATTGATTAAACAGAAATATCAGATTTTAAAACCTCTTGAAGTTAGAAAGCCAAACTAAGGCAAACTTTAGATTTTATTTACAGTCTTAAGGTCTTTGGGACTCCTAGGAAGTAACAGTTTTTATATACTCAGTGTAAGGCTGTGAACCTTCAAAGTTAAGCATGTTATGGATATTGTTAAATATGACGTTTCAGACAAAGCCTTGGTAATGTAATCTATGTTTTTAACTGTATTCTGCTATTAAGATAGAGCAGAATTTTATTGGACTTATGTAAATAACTTTATGTAAATAACCATATTGCCATAAGAATACCAACAAATACATTTTAAAGTTTTGAAGGAATCAAGTAAGGAGAAAAAACAGCAAATGCTTTTATCTTTTTAAACAAAAGTATATTTTATCAAATTACTGTTAATTATAGATAGCGTAGGAGAGAAACTTTCTTTATACCTGAAAGACAAAACATTTGAGTAAAAACAACCTTTCAAATAAATGACATAAGAATATTATCAGTTCTAATGTTCTATAGCAGAGTAGGGTGACTATAGTTAACAATAAAGTACTGTATATTTTAATAATCTAAAGAGAGAATTTGAAATATTCTTGGCCGGGCGCGGTGGCTCAAGCCTGTAATCCCAGCACTTTGGGAGGCTGAGGCGGGTGGATCATGAGGTCAAGAGATCGAGACCATCCTGGTCAACATGGTGAAACCCCGTCTCTACTAAAAATACAAAAACATTAGCTGGGCATGGTGGCGCGTGCCTGTAATCCCAGCTCTTAGGAGGTTGAGGCAGGAGAATTTGCCTGAACCCAGGAGGTGGAGGTTGCCATGAGCCGAGATCGCACCATTGCACTCCAGCCTGGGTAACAAGAGCGAAACTCGGTCTCCAAAAAAAAAAAAAAAAGAAATATTCTCAACACATGGGAATAATAAACATTGAAGAGGATGGATACCCTAAGTACCCTAACTTAATCCCTAAGTATTCTATTCATCTACCAAAATATCACATGTATCTCATAAATGTATATAAATATTATGTATAAATTAAAAAACCACTTGATTAAAACAGAAGCACGGGTCACTGTAAAATAGTAACTCATTAAACCAGAGTGATAATCAAAAGATTTCAACAATAATATAGAAAGTTACATGAATGGAAAAATCTTAATCATTTTAAAGCTCAGTTTTTTAAGTAATTAAAAACCTAATAAAGGCAACATAAAATTTATTTTGATGAAATGTAAAATCTTTTTATTTTAAGCCAGCTACCAAAAGGGTAAAGTAATATCTTTTGCAGTGTAATTGTTTCTCCTTATAAAGTGTTCATTTAGATAATCTGGAAGTTGGACCTAAGGAAAAGAACACTTGAATTTAATCAAACACAGAAAAAAAATGTGTCTAACATTATAAGTGCAACAATTAGATATATCAAGAAAAGCAAAGAGTACAAAATCAAATTATATTGGAGAAAAATACCGCTTTTCTAGTCTTTCATGGTAAGTGTTTTACTGTCAGGCAGTAACAACAAAGTTAGAACCAGAGGAAAAAAGTTGCTGGAGTGGACAACAAAGCAAAAAGGCCTTTTCAAGTCTCTCCATGGTATTAAAACTTAAGGTAGTGATGTATGCCTGCAAATCATGTGCAGTGAGATAACAGCAAAAGTTGAACCACTAGGATATTGATCTGAGAAATATGGAAATGAAACTTTTATTTCAAGAAGTGAAATTATTATGTAAATGAATAGGAGAGCATTTTTAACCTCTAACTAGGGAAATTGAATAGATCTCCAGGAAAGAAATGGCAAAACCAGAAACTGTAGTTAAGAATAAGACTGTTAAAGACAAATCATGTGATTTGTGCTTATAAATCAAACCTCTTGCAACTTTATGAAGAGCAAATACATATTTTAAGAAAATCTTGTAGTTTCAAATGTTAAGGATCAGATTCTGGTTGGGTATCAGTGCACCCTTGATACCAATGTTTACTTTTTAGAAAAACACATAATTTTTTTTTTCAATCTCACTCAACTCAATCACACACAAAACCTCTTTTCTAACACCCATCTTTTATAGCTCTTCTTTAACTTGTCTAGACCTTTTATAATGTTTTTAAAACCTCCAGCCTTAGTCTTATAATTTTTTTTTCTTTTGGGGAAACCAATCATTTTATCTTAGGACAGAAAATTATGTAAGATTTCTTCATACAGAATAACCTTTTAAAATTTATATTTTTATTAAAAACCTAGATATTAGTCTTTTTACAAAAGACTAACAAATCTTTTTTTTAAAAAAAGACTAATCTTTTTTATAAAAGGCAAATAAATCTTTTTATAAAAGTCTGATAACTTTATAAAATTTAAGATGCTAGAAGAAACTTATTTAACAATTTGTTTTAATTTTTTAACTTATTCTAGTATTACCCAGACATTTAATGAGTACCTAATATTTAACTTAAAATAAGGTAATTTTTAAGATTTTAAGTTATATGAAAACTTCATTCACAAACATTTATTTTATTAGTAATTATCCAACTTATTTATTAACAACTATATCTGGATTACTTATGAAAATGTAGATATTAGAGCTACTCATTTTAAGTTTTTTTTTTTGTTTTTTTTTTTAGCTCGGTAATATCAGATGTTTAAGTAAGAAACTTAGAGTTAAATGAATGTACACCTCATCGTTAACTCAGAAAATATATTTCTATTAAACTGTAATTAACTTTTAATTAAATATATTATTAACTAATAATAATCGAATTTTAATTTAATAATGTCTAAATGTAACCCTAACCCTATTAAATTATTAATTCAATATCAATTATTAAATTATTCTTATTTATAAAAAATTATACAAATATTATTTTGTTTGAGGCTGGGTTTATAGGTTTATGACTAACATATCTAGCGGGGGCAAATATAAAACTAACCAGTTAACTCAGGCAAAAATGTATGTTGACAATTTTGAAAACATTTCTAATTTTATTTTATTAACAACTTAAAAACAATTTATTTGAAGTTTATTTAAGTCATATGAACTAAATAAAACATTTGTGTAATTAAAATGTATTTTATATGCGTGCCCATTTATCCTAAGAAAGTTTTTAAAGAAATTTCTGGCCAATGACAGCACATTTTATCATTTAGACTTAATATATAATGTAATATATGTGCATATGTAGAAACACTTCTAAACGTATATCTATATAGAGAAAGAGATCGTACAGCTTAGGTTTTAGTCATAAAATAGTAAAACACATTAACTCATCAGTTGATTAAAAACATTTGAATCTAAATCTTTTTTTTCTTTGACAAAATGGGATAAGGCTAAACCGTAAGCTTTCTTTTCTTTTAGTTTGGCTTTGTCAAGAAGCAATTTTACAAAGGCTGTGAACCAAATTTTGGAGACAGACAGCTGAGTCAGTTACCAACATTCTGGATCAGACAAGGAATAGTTAACTTTGAGAATGTGACTCAATTATGGGAGGAGGCCCCCAAAAGATTTTAACAAGGTTCATATTGTATTTTCGTGGTCTCAACTACAGTTGCTATTCCTTTTGGTACAAGAAAGGTGTCTTTTACATGGGAATTTCACCATTTGCTTTTAAGAAACGGCATAAAAGTAAAAATGATTTTATTTTTTATTTTCTGACTTTCAAGTGTTCAAGTGTTTTTGTTTTGGTTTGGTTTGTTTTGTCTGAGGCAGTCTCCCTCTGTCGCCAGGCTGGAGTGCAGTGGTGTGACCTCGGCTCTGCAACCTCTGCCTCCTGGGTTCAAGTGATTCTCCTGCCTCAGCCTCCCGGGTAGCTGGGACTACAGGCATGCACCACCATGCCTGGCTAATTTTTGTATTTTTAGTAGAGACGGGTTTCACCATGTTGGCCAGGATGGTCTCGATATCCTGATGTCATGATCTGGCTGCCTCGGCCTCCCAAAGTGCTGGGACTACAGGCGTGAGCCACTGCACCTGGCCTCAAGTGTTTCTGCTTACATACCCAGTATACCAGAATATTTGAGGAGCTTGGAAAAAAAGTTCAGCTTAGAGAAAGATAAAGAGGAGGGATTATAAGAGATGGGGAAAGCCCTGGACAGGAAAGCGTGTCAGCTAGCTTTAAGATAGTGTTTTGCAGCAAGGCACTCAATTAAGATATGAGGCTTATTTGGAGTACATAATTCTATAGTTGTGGTCTTTTAGTTTAGATTTAAGAATAGACTGTTGAAGGATCTCTGCAATATTTGAATATGTTACCAGCTGGAGTCCCAGAAAATATGTTGGCATGCCTTTAAACTTTGAGAATCCATTTGTAACTAAATTTATCTAGGTGATTTCGTTTAAATGCCAAATACATAAAAGCCAATTAAATGCAAGCACTGATTATGAAAAGGCCAAATAAACCCAAGAAGGAAGATCAGCTGCCTTCTCCAACTGAAGGAAAAAAGAAAAATGCTTTTGTTGAGCCTTCAACCTGAAAAGAGAAATCCTGTCACCCAGACCTCACAGCTGAGATCTGCCAGGAGGAAGATGGTCCTCCCTAACAGGAGATCTTCCAATCAGAGGCAGAAAGACATCTCCAACAAAATCCAAATAAAACAGAAGTCAACTAAAATTGGGAGTTGAGCCCAAGAGACTCACCAGGAAGAAATGAGGCAACCTGCAGAAGCAGTGCAGTCATGAGAGTCAATGAGACCCTGTGTGAGTACGTCATGCCCTAGCGCTGTGGACCAGTGATTCTCCCAAACTGAATCAGCTTTGGAACACAGCTGGACACCAAGTAGGTCAAAATCAAAATAAAATATAGGGACAGATTTCTGCATTTAAAATGTTTTATTAGAGAGGTGAGAATTGTAATTTGGCATAAATGCAGGGACCAGGGGTCTTTGGTTTGTCTAAAGAACAAAACAAAGACTGGAGGTGTTATTAAAAAAAGAAAGTTACTTATTGTTTTGAAAGAAAGTTTACTGGCTCTAGCAAAGTTTTGAGGAGCTGGCAAGTTCTGATTGGTGTGTGACAGTGGAGGGTAAAACCAGTCTTGCAGTCACAGCAAGTTATTTTAACAACTGTTAGGTAAAACTGGTTTTAGGCTACAACAGGCAGTTTTAGCAGCTAGGTTTGTAGAAAATTACATTTTTGAAGCAATGCTATGTGCCCTGAGTGCCTTTTTCCCCTGGTCTGTCTACTCTGTTTTAGTTGCATATGACAAGAATGACCCCATTTGTTTCATCGACTTTTGCAGATCAAAGAAAGTTTAATTTTCTTTTGGGTAAAGACAATTAGCAAATGTGGATGGTGTATGATCTACTCTTCACCTTCACTCTTAAAGCTCCACCCCATTTTGTTTTGGCAGATTTTAGTTCAGACTTTTCCCTGTGGTAACAATCTTGAATAAAATAGCCATTGTCTGTGTGATGTTGTTCAGTGCAATTCTTGCTCTGTCAGAAGGTACTTCATGTTTCCAATTATATCTTTGTGGACTCCCAGTTTTACATTTTGTTCAATAGGTTATAATCTCCTATTCTGGTACTCATATTGTTTTAGATTCGGATGTGAAAGTCCTGTCAAAGTGCCATGTCTATCCTTGATCTCCAAAATCATTTTCAGGCTTAAAGTTAAAAAAAAAAAAAAAACAAAAAACTCAACAGAATACCTGTAACCATTTTGCCAGTGTTTGAAGTGGGTTTTATGTGTAGCCTGATTCATAAGAATAAATTAACCAGACAGATAACAAAACTTCAACTTTGTTTAATTAAAAAATACTTTGTTTCATCCTTAATAATCTTACTTTTTGTTTCCCTGTTATCTATGACATTAACTTAGTGTATTTCTTTCCTGCAAATCCATTTTCTTTCTGTGTAGCATCTAGCTGTTGCTGGATCATCATCACTGAGGTAGGCACATCCTTCACTCCCTTTCACGGCAAACCTGCAACAAAGGGATTAGCCATTATGTAGTCACGTGATTTCTTCCTTGCCCACTGACAGCTTTAAACAAAAATTCTACTTGTCTAAAGTGCTGAAAGGTGTGCTCTGGCACAGTTCTCTCTTGCTAGTGTTGAGATACCTATACTAGTTTGGATCAAAAGAGTTTCTTTTCCAAGAATTTGTATATGTTAAACTGGTATTAGGTTAGTTACATGTAATCGGTGGAGGTACCAGTTCACATAAACCAATGGTTTTCAATTAGGGGTGATTTTGCTTCCAAACCAAGAAACACTTGACAATATCTGGAGATGTTTTTTTGTTGTCACAAGTGGAGGAAGAGGTTGAGTAGGGTGGATAGTTTCTGTCATTGAGTGGGTAGAATCCAGGGATGCTGCCTACATCCTATAATACACAAAGAAAAGCACCCCTTTTCCATGACAGAGAAGTATTCAGCACAAAATATCAGTAGTGTTTCTATTGAGAAACTCTAACATAAACTAAGTGTCTAAGTGACTGCGAGTGACCATTTAGGGTGTGTACACACATTTTCCAAATTATAACACTAAGGTATGAAGCCCAGGACAAATTGCGTAATAGTGAAATTGCAAATGAAATCAGATTAAAATGAACATCAAATTGAAATTGATCTGTAAAAGACATCAGAATATAGGCAATAAAACGTTTAAAGAAGAGGCATATAATTGGACAAGATAGTTTATAATTAGACAAAAGTTTAAATTGGGGTGGAGGTAGTTGTGTATATGAATCTCAGGTCTTTATTTTCAAAATAGCCAACTAGGAGATTTGTTCCCTTGTATCTTAATTTCCAACCTTCATGGTTGATTCCTTAAGTAAATCTCAATATATACTCAATATCTCCTTCATCTTACTGAGACGTACAAAAATATTGGGCTCTAGGGAAATTTCGCTAAAGTATAAGTCCTAGAGAAGGCTGCACTATCTAAATTTAAGTGATTCCAGAAAGAAAGAAACTCACGATTTCTTAAGTTTAGCTCCATCTACCCATTGTCCTGTTCCATTGGCCATCTTCAGCCCAATCCAGTGATCAGAACTGCATTTGTACCGCCTAAGAAAATCCTTTAGAGACAAAATTAATTTCAAAATCATGCATGTCAATTTTTACTACAACCTATTGTGTACCTCTTGTTCTGCAGGTTGTGAAGTGCAAGGCAACAACTGCTCAACTCCTGGCTTCACTAGAAAAAAGCTATAGAATTTTTTTTTTAAACTGCTTTATTTTTTCTCTGACCTTCGGTTTTCTGATTTGTGAAACGAATATATGAGATACATTTTCTTTAGCTATGATTCCAAATTGATAAATGTTCAATTTGAATATCTATCCCTTCACAATTTTCAAACTGTAAGCTACTAGAAAGCCAAGGTTTGAAATTGAGTCCTTGCATAGCATTTCTAATTACCAGATATTTATTACACTTTTTGTCCACTTCCCAGTAAACAGTAGTAGCTTCATTTTAGTTTTATGTCTTACTTCAGTTTATCTCCACAAACTACATATGTACACACACACACACACACACACACACACCCTCATATATCCAGTTTCTTTAGAATCTAATTATCAAATTTTATTTTTCTGCTAAACATTTAAATTTCCAAATACATCATTCAGAAATAAATACAATGTTTCTTTTCCTGACATTTCTCCTGCTGATGCATTGTTTAACTTACTAATACCCTCCATCTTTTTCTTTAATCATAGAATTATATGCGAAAGTCCTTGAGGTACTCTGCTGCTAAATAGCTTGGAAACTATAAGCTTCACATTGTATCACTCTACTTTTCAATTGAAGATAAATATAAAGGAGTTAGGCCAAATCACAACACAATAGTCAAATCCCATCTACCCCAACAGTGACACCTGTAGCTTTTGGCATTTTAATACACCGTCTTCACAGCATTGCATAAACCAATTTGAAAAAAATTAATCGGTTGGGCTAAGTTTGGATTTACAAATAAACAGATTAATGAAAACACCGTCATACATTCAAAGGCCTTAATTTATAGTGAGGAAAATAATGTAAACATAATGTTAGAAAATATTCTACTAGATATGGAGAAGTTATGAGTGTAATGAATACAATGTGAAATTGGAATTTACAGAAAAAAAATATGAGTCTTTAAGGGAAACTTTGATACAGGATGTGCTCCAATAGAGGAGTAGAATATTCCACGTAAATGCAGATGCCCAAGGAAAAGAGGGTGATTCATAGCCTATACTCAGGAAAGAACTTCGGGAAAGGCTTCGGGAGAGAGCTTGAGTGGTCTTGGTGACAGGGAACGGGGAGCTGTGTTTCCCGGGCCTGCTCTGTGAAAAATGTTAACATTATTTGTTCTGTAAAAGCTTGCACCATTTTAGCCCTTTGTTAGAACTGAAATAATTCTAAATAGGTGGAAATAGATATAAAAGTATTTTGTAAGACAAACTTTATCTCATATTAGTTTGTAATTAAAATGTACATTTAAACTATTTTAAATAATCCATTAAAATCTTATATAAGTTTCTTCTCCACTCCACAGACGGCTTTACTTCATTCTGTTTGTCACTTAAATTTTGCCAATGTGTATATTACATAGTAGTAACCCGTGATCTTCAAAATATATTAGGATATTTTATGATCAGTGTTTTTTCTTCATCCAAACAATACAAGCATTCTTCCCTGATACATTTGAAAATTTCTCTTAACTTTAAAACAAATTATTTTTATGTACTTCTGGTCTTTACATTCCATGATCCTCACTATTTAGTCAGTCTTCACTGACAATATTCCTATAGTGAATGTACTTATTTTAATATTGATTGTCTTTACATTTCTTCATGTTTCCTTTTAGTAACATTCATTATTTTTCCATCTTGCTGCTTGTATAGCTTTCTTTTTTCCCCAAGAGGAACTGTAAGGAACAGTCAGAGGATTTCTCAGAATGTTCCTTTTCAAAAGTCTTGCAAAATTCAGCAGCAATACTATTGACTAAAGAAGCCCTATGATGTTAAGTTTGCACCTCGATTCTTGATTTACAGTATCTACTCCTAAGCCATCTAGCTTTCAACATTTTACTACCTTTTGTTTCTTGTAAAATAGTTGTGTTTCCTTGCACTGACCTGTAAACTGACCCTGCCTGATTCACATGCATTTGAACCAATCTTCAGGCAGATTGCATAAATAAACTTTGTTTACCATAAAGGCAACACACAACTGTCTTTTAACAATGTGGACTCTTGTGTTATCCTGCTTTTCACTGAAATACTTCTCAATAGCAAATTATTTGCAAAAAATATTTTAAATCAAGCTATATTACCTCTTCTTATATGTTTTTTTCATTCTTAAAGAGACTAAACAAAGGTAAGTAAAAATGTATGTTTACAATATAAGTGACTAGGGGAAAGAACAAATTTCACGCAGGCAGAGGTGTGGTTTTATAATCCTGTTTTAAAGTTCTTGGAGAATCTGTTTACTCATAAAGATTTTGTCATGTAAATCAAAATTTATTCAACAAGGATTTGTTAGACTTTTCATTTGTACCTGATTTTGCGCAGTAATGATAAGGATAAAATTTCAGAGAAGACATGGTCACGCTCACTGAAAATGTATGCTCTGGTGTAGGAGGAAACTTCTGATTTTCCTCTTTATTGCATTACTGGTGGAGAGTGTTCCAATGGAAGCTGCATGGGACCTCAGAGATAGGCAGCAAAACAAAATGGGGAAGTCGGGGCAAAGTTTCTCTCAGGAAGTAGAATGGAGAAGCCCCTCCTTCCTCAGACAATTTCCCTTTCTTGGCGGAGTACTGGCTCTTAAAAGGTTTCCAAACATTATCTTCTGTGTACACTCTTTAAAATACAAAGATAGTTACTAAGTCTACTACTTGATGTCAGTCTTATATTCTTCAAACAAAGTATCACTAGGCTTTTTACCTTTATGTCACATGGCATATCCTGAACATCTTCAATATTCTGCATAGGTAGGCATGAGTGAAAAGACTTCAAAATTTTAATGGTATTTGAATATTTCTTTTTTCTTTTTTTTTTTTTTTTGAGACGGAGTTTCGCTCTTGTTGCCCAGGCTGGAGTGCAATGGCGCGATCTCGGCTCACCGCAACCTCCGCCTCCTGGGTTCAGGCAATTCTCCTGCCTCAGCCTCCTGAGTAGCTGGGATTACAGGCACGCGCCACCATGCCCAGCTAATTTTTTTTGTATTTTTAGTAGAGACGGGGTTTCACTATGTTGACCAGGATAGTCTCGATCTCTTGACCTCGTGATCCACCCGCCTCGGCCTCCCAAAGTGCTGGGATTACAGGCTTGAGCCACCGCGCCCGGCCGGTATTTGAATATTTCTAATGTTCCAACTCAAGATAATTCACAAAGAATGTATAATAAATTACTTACCATTTCTTCATTGTTGTCAATTTTAGTTAGGTAAGCATGTTGAGTGGAACAGTTATATTTACTTGAATTCCAATCTCCTTCTTCTTTAGAGAAATAATAGCATTTGTTTTGGAAACCAATCCAATCATATGGGCAAAATCTTTGAGAATCTGGAGTTGGTTTTACTGGAAATAAGACAAATACATATCTTAAGGACCATATAGAATAATATGTATTTTGAGATCACTGGACACAGGATTTTAATGTAAAAGATTATGGTCACTATGAAATTTGTATAACTATCACATGACAGTTTGAAAAAATTTTATGTCTTGTCATGTTAGGTCAAATGACAGCAGTTTAGGATATATCACGGCATTTAAATTTCTTTCAACTTCAGTGATATACAGGCCTTCCAGGAGCCACCAGAATTATTCTACTTGAGTAGGGTACCCTTTCCATTTCTGGATAAATGAAATAAAATGAAATTCTAGCATTATCTAAGAGTAATCCAAATAATAATTTGTATTAATCAGTAATGAATCTAGATACTTGATTTAATCTACAAAGAAGTAAGAAAAATAATAAAACAAAATGCAAAGTAAGTTGAATTGTTTGTTATCAGCTAGGTATCACCATCACTGTATAGCATTGTGCAAGCCAATGAATGGAACTCGCATGAGATTTGGAAGTAAAGAAGAAGATATAATTTCTGTAGACCATGAGCATGGGAACTTCACAGGTCTTTCCATGTGTTCCCCTATTGCAGTCTTGTTAGCTTCTTAGGCTTTCTTCCAAATGCGTTAGTGCATTATGCCATATTATTGGTCATCATTTCTCTTTCAGCTACACAGCCCCAGTCTTCAGTTATGCATCAGTCCCAGATCTCCCCACATTCATGTTGTCCCTAATTTCTATATGAAAGCCTTATTGTCATAATTTGTGTTTGTTTTTTGGAACACACCCAGACTGAGTCAGTTTTTGGTACCAAACATAATTCTAAGGAAACAGACCTTGAGGATGAGATATGGTGTTAGTTTTTCCATATTCACTCTAAAGCCATTGATCCAACTACCAGTTAGAAATAGGATGCTGATTTGGTTTAAAGTCTATTTTACAAACAAGAAAAAAAGAACCAGGATGCTGATGACAGTGGAGCACAGTGGCAAAATAATTAGTTGAATTATTACCTATAGTCATCTGGGGCCAAGGGTCTACAGAAGATAAAATTTTATATGCATACACAGTGTGTGTGTGTGTGTGTGTATATATATATATATATATATACACACATGTATGTGTACGGATAAGTGTGTATATATCTATATACACACGTGCATATATATCTCTCTCATATACTGTCTAATAAAAGTTAGTGTTTGTATTACTCTTACATAATGCTAGGATTTCATTTTATTTCATTTACCTAGAAATGGTAAAGGTGACCTACACAAGTAGAATAATTCTGGTGGCTCCAGGAAGGCCTATACATCACTGAAGTTGAAGTTGAAGTTGAAAGGAATATAAATGCCCTAATAAATCCTCAACTACTGTCATTTGACCTAACATGACAAGACATAAATTGTTTTTCAACCTATCATATGATAGACATACAAATTTTGCATTGACCATAATCTTTTACATTAAGATCCTGTCTGTCTTCCATGGTCTCAAAACACTGTAGCATCCAGACTTATGGGATGCAACTAAACTTGTGAGATACAGCAGCTCTCTTAAAGCTTACAGGAAAATTTATTGGCTTAAATTTATGTTTTTGAAATGATGAAGACTTTTTGAAATGATAATTATTCTATCTTACAAAGTTAATAATAGTGATAAAACCAAAGTAGAGAGACACAATTTAAAAAACAAAAAGAACAGAAATCAATTGAATAAAAAGTTAATGCCAAACAGAAAAAAATTTTAGTCATAAGATGACTTTTGTTGAATACTCTAAAATAAGATTGATCACTAGAAAAACTAATTTAAAATGATTTAAAAGTGAGAGTAAAAACACAAATTAGCAACACAAAGAATGAAAATGTAGAGAAATTTCTAGAACACAATTTAACATAACTGACAAGATAAAAGTAGTATATCTAAACAATACTATATTTTATTAAAAATTAAATCTTTAATTTAAAAAATTACACTGAAAGAAATCTCCCAGTCCATATGGCTTCTGTATAAATATTTCTAATCATTTAGGAAAGGCATAACACCAACGTTATACACACTCTTTCAGAAAATAGGAAAGGAGGGGATACTTTCCAACCAAATTTAAGAAGCCATTATAATCACATCAATACCTGACAATAGTATTAAAAGAAAGAGAAATTATAAGTCAATCTCTTATGAATATATGTGCATGTATCTTAAACAAAATACAATTCAGTTAATTGAAAAATATTAAAAGGTTAATTGATTGTGATCAAGTTGAATCTATCACAGAAATTGAAGATTATCTTAATATAAAATCTGTGTAGTTCAACCTATTAGCAGAAAAAAGAGATAAAGTATCGCAATAGATCAAGATAAAGCATTTGATATTTAAATTAAAGAGAAGTAAAGAGAATATCTTTAATCTGGGAAATATTAAAAATGTTTTCATTGATATTAAGAATGAGACAAACATGTAAGCTGTCACTACTTATGCTCAACCTTGTACTGGAAGCTATAGCCAGTAAAATAAGGGAATACAATGAAAAAAAAGGCCTAAGGATTCCAACAGAATAAGTAAAACAATTATTATTGGGAGAGAATCTAAATTTTTACATAGAACCTGCGAAAGAAACTGAAGACAATTTATGAAAATGAATAGTTAACTATAGCAAATTTGCTATATGAGGCTCACATAGATATCTATTAAATACATATAGACAATTTTTATATGCCAGCAACAGACTGAATAGGAAAATAGAGTTAATAAAAATACTTCTATGCTACTTACAATTGCATTATAGAGCACTGAGTCTTTTAAAAATAAATGCTGAAAATGACATGTGTGAAATCTATTCTGAAAGCTATAAAAAATTGCTGGCAGAAATTATGGAACACCAAATGAATATTTTAAATGTATGATTCAATATTAAGATAATGATTCCATGAAAATTGACTATGGTATATTGAAATCTCAATCAAAATTACAGATAATTTATATGGCAGCATAAAAGATCTAAAATGCTCCAGGCAAACTTGAAGAAGAAAATAAAACTTTTAAAAGATTTAAACAACCAGACATCAAGACTTATTATAAACCTGCTGTATTAAGACAGAATGATACAGATACAAAGATAGATAAAATAGAGTAGCTTATTATAATAAAACTTTAGCAAAAATGATCTTCAGCTACACAGTTGATTGATGACAAAGACCAGCTGTGGTGAAGTAGGGAAAGTATCATCTTGTTAATAAGTTGTTTCAGGTTGAAAGATTACCTAAATGGGAAAAAATGCATGCTAATATCTATCTCTTAATATTTATAAAATTCAACTTTAAGAGGGCTATATTTTGGAAAGTGAAATGAAAGTAGAAACCCTACAAAAATATTTTTATGTCTTTGAAGTGAAGTGAATTTCTTAGAATGAAAAACATAGATACGGTGACAATAGACAAGGACACAATTACACTACTTTAAAACTCAGAAGCTCTGTTGATTAAAAGGCATGATAAAGAGAGTAAACTTAAGCTTCATAGTTAAAAAATATATTGGCAATACCTCTAAACTACAGTCTCATCTAGAATATTAAAGAATTCTTATACTCTTATGAACTAAGCAGAAAAGACAGCTAACACACTAAAATATGGGCAAAGTATTTAAACATTCCCATAAAAAATATTACACCTAAATCAACAGTAATTATGAAGGTACTGAACAGTATTGATCACCAGAAAACCGTCAAAGCCAAAATTGGGTAACATGCACTTATCAGAATGGCAAAAATTGATAAAACCAACAATAAAGTAATAACGTGGCATGGAGCTATTGGCATTGTCATACACCTCTGCTGAGATTACTATTTATGGTAAATCATATTTGGGTTAATCTATGAATATTCTGTGCTTAATAATTCTTCTTATAAGTAAATATCATGTTATATCCAGTATTCATTAAAAGACAAAAAATATAAAATATATAATATGCAGTTGTTCAAAACCACCCAAATTGCAATAGTCAAAATGTGGCACAACCCAAATGTTGATGGAAAGTGAAAAGATAGATATGGTCGTATATAAAAGACATATATGGTGGTATGTACATAACAGTGGATGCACTGTAGTAAACACCTGCTAAAACAGCCTTGGACCAACAGCTTATCTTCTGCTTTTGTACAACAACTAGCTAAAAATAATTTTTTTTAGTTTAGATTATTTATTTATTTATTTTTATTATACTTTAAGTTCTGGGGTACAGGTGCAGATCCTGCAGGATTGCTACATAGGTATACACATGCCATGGTAGTTTGCTGCCTCCATCTGCCTGTCACCTACATTAGGTATTTCTCTTAATGTTATCCCTCCCTAATCTCCCCACCCTCTGCTATTTCTCCCCTGGCCCCCAACCTCCCAACAGACCCCAGTGTGTGACGCTCCCCTCCCTGTGTCCATGTGTTCTCATTGTTCAACACCACTTATGAGTGAGAACATGTAGTGTTTGGTTTTCTGTTCTTGTGTCAGTTTGCTGAGAATGATGGATTCCAGATTCATCCGTGTCCATGCAAAGGACGTGAACTCATGCTTTTTTATGGCTGCATAGTACTCCATGGTGTATATGTGCCACATTTTCTTTATCCAGTCTATCCTTGATGGACACTTGGGTTGGTTCCAAGTCTTTGCTATTGTAAACAGTGCCGCAACAAACATACCTGTGCATGTGTCTTCGTAATAGAACAATTTATAGTCCTTCGGTTATATATCCAATAATGGGATTGCTGGGTCAAATGGAATTTCTATTTCTAGATCCTTGAGGAATTGCCACACTGTCTTCCACAATGGTTGAACTAATTTACACTCCCACCAACAGTGTAAAAGTGTTCCTATTTCTCCACAGCCTCTCCAGCATCTGTTGTCTCCAGATGTTTTAATGATCAACATTCTAACTGGCATGAGATGGTATCTCAATGTGGTTTTGATTTGCATTTCTCTAATGATCAGTGATGATGAGCATTTTTTCATATGTTTGTTGGCCACATAAATGTCTTTTTAAAAGTGCCTGTTCATATCCTTTGCCCACTTTTTGATGGGGTTGTTTGTTTTTTTCTTGTAAATTTGTATTAATTCTTTGTAGATTCTGGATATTAGCCCTTTGTCAGATGGGTAGCTTGCAAAAATTTTTTTCCCATTCTATTGGTTGCCAGTTTACTCTAATAATTGTTTCTTTTGCTGTGCAGAAGCTCTTAAGTTTAATTGGATCTCATTTGTGTATTTTGGCTTTTGTTGTCATTGCTTTTGGTGTTTTAGTTCTGAAGTCCTTGCCTATGCCTAAGACCTGAATGGTACTGCTTACGTTTTCTTTTAGAGTTTCTATGGTGTTAGGCTTTATGTTTAAATCTTTAATCCATCTGGAGTTAATTTTTGTATAAGGTGTAAGGAATGGGTCCAGTTTCAGCTTTCTGCACATGGTTAGCCAGTTTTCCCAACACCATTTGTTAAACAGGGAATCCTTTCCCTATTGCTTGTTTTTGACTGGTTTGTCAAAGATCAGATGGTTGTAGGTGTGTGGCGTTGTCTCTGAGGCCTCTGTTCTGTTCCATTGGTCTATATCTCTGTTTTGGTACTAGTGCCATGCTGTTTGATTACTATAGCCTTCTAGTATTGTTTGAAGTCAGGTAGTGTGATGCCTCCAGCTTTGTTCTTTTTGCTTAGGATTGTCTTGGCAATGTGGGCACATTTATGGCTGCATATGAAGTTTAAGATTTTTTTTTTCAGTTCTGTAAAGAAGGTCAATAGTAGCTTGATGGGGATAGCATTGAATCTATAAATTATTTTGGGCAGTATGGACATTTTCATGATATTGAGAACTACAAAGCACTGCTCAAGGAAATAAGAGAGTACACAAACAGATGAAAAAACATTCCATGAGCATGGAAGAAGAGGTCCTTCACATCCTTTGCTAGTTGTATTCCTAGGTATTTTATTCTCGTTGTAGCAATTGTGGTGAATGGGAATTCACTCATGATTTGGCTCTCTGTCTGTTAATGGTGTATAGGAATGTTTGTGATTTTTGCACATTGATTTTGTATCCTGAGACTTTGCTGAAGTTGCTTATCAGTTTAAGGGGATTTTGGGCTGAGACGATGAGGTCTTCTAGATATACAATCATGTCATCTGCAAATAGAGACGATTTGACTTCCTCTTTTCCTAATTGAAAACACTTTATTTCTTTTTCTTGCCTGATTGCTCTGGCTAGAACTTCCAATACTATGCTGAATAGGAATGGTAAGAGAGGACACCCTTGTCTAGTGCCAGTTTTCAAAGGGAATACTCCCAGTTTTTGCCCATTCAGTATGATATTGGCTGTGGGTTTGTCATAGATAGCTTTTATTATTTTGAGATACATTCCATCGATACCTAGTTTATTGAGAGTTTTTTAGCATAAAGGCTGTTGAATTTTGTCGAAGGCCTTCTCTGCATCTATTGACATAATCATGTGGTTTTTGTCTTTGGTTCTGTGTGTGATGGATTACGTTTATAGATTTGTGTATGTTGAACCAGCCTTGTATCCCGGAGTGAAGCCTACTTGTTGGTGATGGATAAGCTTTTTGATGTGCTGTTACAATCAGTTTGCGATTTTATTGAAGATTTTTGTATCTATGTTCATCATGGATATTGGCCTGAAATTTTTAGTTCAGTCTCTGCCAGGTTTTGGTATCAGAATGGTGTTGGTCTCATGAAATGAGTTAGAGAGGATTCCCTCCTTTTGTACTGTTTGGAATAGTTTCAGAAAAAATGGTAGCAGCTCCTCATTGTATGTCTGGTAGAATTTGGCTGTGAACCCATCTGGACTTGGACTTTTTTTTAGTTGGTAGACTGTTAATCACTGCTCAATTTTGGACCTTGTTTTTGGTCTATTCGGGAATTCAGCTTTTTCCTGGCTTTGTCTTGGGAGGGTGTAAGTGTACAGAAATTTATCCATTTCTTCTAGATTCACTGGTTTATGTGCATAGAGTTGTTTGTAGTCATCTCTGATGGTAGTTTGCATTTCTGTAGAATCAGTGGTTATATCCCCTTTATCATGCATCTATTTGATTTTTCTCTCTTTTATTTTTTATTAATATGGCTAGTGGTCTATTTTGTTGATCTTTTTTTTAAAAAACCAGCTCCTTGATTTACTGATTTTTGAAGGGTCTTTTGTGTCTCTGTCTCCTTCAGTTCTGCTCCAATCTTAGTTATTTCTTGTCTTCTGCTAGCTTTTGTATTTGTTTGATCTTTTTCCTTTAGTTCTTTTAATTTTGATGATAGAGTGTTGATTTTAGACCTTTCTTCACTTCTCCTGTGGGCATTTAGTGCTGTAAATTTCCCTCTAGACACTGCTTTAAATGCGTCCCAGAGATTCTGGCATGTTGTGTCTTTGTTCTCATTGGTTTTGAAGAACATCTTTATTTCTGCCTTCATTTCATTATTTATCCAGTAGTCATTCAGGAGTGAGTTGTTCAGTTTCCATGTCGTTGTGTGGTTTTGAATGTGTTTCTTAATCCTGAGTTCTAACTGATTGCACTGTGGTCTGAGAGACTGGTAGTTATGATTTCTGTTCTTTTGCATTTCCTGAGGAGTGATTTACTTCCAAGTATGCAGTCAATTTTAGAGTAAGTACGATGTGGTGCTGAGAAGAATGTATGTTCTTTGGGTTTGGGGTGGAGAGTTCTGTATATATCTATTAGGTCTGCTTGGTCTGGATCTGAGTTCAAGTCCTGGATATCCTTGCTAATTTTCTGTCTCATTGATCTGTCTAATATTGACAGTGGAGTGTTAAAGTCTCCCACTATGATTGTATGAGAGTCTATGTCTCTTTGTGGGCCATTAAGAACTCGCTTTATGTATCTGGATGCTCCTATATTGGGTGCATAGATGTTTAGGACAGTTAGCTCTTCTTGTTGCATTGATGTTTTTACCATTATGTAATGCCCTTCTTTGTCTCATTTGATTTTTGTTGGTTTAAGGTCTGTTTTATCAGAGACTAGGATTGCAACCCCTGCTTTTTTTTTTGCTCTCCGTTTGCTTGGTAAATCTTCTTCCATCCCTTTATTTTGAGTCTATGTGTGTCTTTGCATGTGAGATGGGTCTCCTGAATACAGCACACTGATGGATCTTGACTTTTTATCCAATTTGCCAGTCTGTGTCTTTGATTGGGGCATTTAGTCTGTTTACATTTAAGGTTAATATTGTTATGTGTGAATTTGATCCTGCCATTTTGATACTAGCTGGTTGTTTTGCTCATTATTTGATGCAGTTTCTTTATTGTGTTGATGGTCTTTCCCATTTGGTACATTTCTGCAGTGGCTGGTACTGATTGTTCCTTTCCATGTTTAATGCTTCCTTCAAGGGGAAGGAAGGCAGGTTTGATGGTGACAAAATCTCTCAGCAGTTGCTTGTCTTAAAGGATTTTATTTCTCCTTTGCTTATGGAGGTTAGTTTGGCTGGATATAAAATTCTGGGTTGAAAGTTCTTTTCTTGAAGGATGTTGAATACTGGCCCCCACTCTCTTTTGGCTTGTAGGGTTTCTGCCAAGAGATCCACTGTTAGTCTGATGGGCTTCCCTTTGCAGGTAACCCCACCTTTCTCTCTGGCTGCCGTTAGCATTTTTTCCTTCATTTCCACCCTGGTGAATCTGACAATTAAATGCCTTGGGGTTGCTCTTCTTGAGGAATATCTTTGTGGTGTTCTCTGTATTTCCTGGATTTGAATTTTGGCCTGACTTGCTAACTTGGTGAAGTTCTCCTGGATAATATCCTGAAGAGTGTTTTCCAGCTTGGATTCATTCTCCCCATCATATTCAGGTACACTGATCCAACGTAGATTAGGTCTTTTCACATAATCCCATATTTCTTGGGGGCTTTGTTCATTTCTTTTCACTCTTTTCTCTAATCTTGCCTTCGTGTTTTATTTCATTTAGTTGATCTTCAATCTTTGCTACCCTTTCTTCTGTTTAATTGATTCAGCTATTGAAACTTGTGTATGCTTTGCAAAGTTCTCGTGCTGTGTTTTTCAGCTCCATCAAGTTGTTTATGTTCTTCTATAAGCTGGTTATTCTAGTTGGCATGTCGTCATGTAATTAATAAAATGTATTCATTGGTACCAATTAAATGTTATCATGAATAATGGGAAAAGAATGAGATACTGAGAAAAGATTGTAACTGAGACAGAAAGGAATAGGATCACACATAGAATATCCTGAAAAACAAAATAAAGAATGTAACTTACCTATTAGTACCATGATAGCATTAGATATTATTATTAAAATAGCACCCACTATGAAACACTTTTTATGTCTGTTCATAACACCTGAAAAATAAAAATAAAGACATTTAGGAGATTTCTGGCTCCAAAATGATAGCACAAAAGCAAGTTGGCTTTAATGAAAGCCAACTTTCAGAAAACAACAACAACAACAACAACAAATTAGTGCTGTATTGTCACCAACAATATCCCAGAATTCAAATATGAGAAAGAGACAGTTCCTGGAGCCACAGAAAAGTGAAAAGACAAACAAACAAAAAACACTGTACTGAAAATAAGAGAATTAGACTTCCATATCCATGATGTCCCTCCTTGCAATCTTCCCAGTACCCAAGTGCATGGCAACATCATTTCTATACTGAAAAATGTGAGATCAAAATGGATAACCAGCTTCCCCACAAGCTGGACTTCCCTGGCAGGAAACTTGCCCCTGCCCAAACCCTTGAGAAACATCAGGCATGCCTGAAGAGAGATATACCTCTGAGGACAAGCAGAGACAAAGTGGTGAGGAAGAACTACCATCCCCAGTACCAGAAACTCTGCTGTTACCTGGACAAAGAAGATGTCAGCTTAGAGGGGCTGCCAAGCAACATTATGCTATAGGAAGTTCATTCCACAAGTTCTGTGGGCTGGAATTCTAGTCAGTCTTCCAACACTACTGGCATACCCCTTTGGAACCTCACCCATTTGGTATGGGTGGCACTCTGATTGTTTACTAGGATCAAGACAAACATGGGTTAAGGTACCATGTAGTCATAAAAAGGAGGCAGAAACATAGTCCCCCACCCCCCTAAAAAAGTCAACAGGTAAATTACAAGGAACATTTAAATAAATATATTCAATATAAACCAAAACAAGCCGTATAAAATCCTTCAACACAAAAACATAGATGCATACCCATAAGAAATAACAGCAAACAGGGAACTGTGATATCCTCAAATGGAGAAAGTTGGAACCAGAGACAGACGTTAATGAGATGGCAATATTTGAGCACTTGTACCAAGCATTCAAAACAGTAGTTTTAAGAAAACTCAGTGGTCTCTAAAATAACACACAAAAATTCAGAAATTTATCAGAGAAATTTAACAAAGGGATTGAAATACTTTTTGAATATCAAAAAAATACTGGAACTGAAACATACATTTGCTTAACTGAAAATTTTATTAGAGTCTCTCAACAGGAGAATGGATCAAGCAGAAGAAATAATCAATGAGCATGTAGATGGGCTTTTGAAAATACACAAGAAAAGGAAAAAGAATAATAAAGAGGAATGAAGAATGCCTACTTGTTATAAAAAAATTGCTGCAGAAGACCACAACTAAGAATTATTGGTGTTTAAGAGAGAGTCCAGCCAGAGCAAGGGGTAGATAGCCTATTCAAAGGAATAATAATAGAAAGTATTCCAAATCTTGACAAAGAGATATTCAGGTAGATAAAGGTCAGAGAACACCAAACAGATTTTAACCCAAACAAGACTACCCTAGGCATATAATAAATAATCCAACTCTCAAATGTCAAGGACAAAGAGAGGATCCTAAAATCAGCAAGAGAAGAGAAGCAAATAACACCTAAAGGAGCTCCAATTTATCTGACAACAGACTTCTCAGTGGAAACCATACAGGCCAGGAGGAACAGAGATGATGTTTTCTTTTCTTTTTTATTTTATTTTATTAAAAAAAAAAAAAAAAAAACGAATGAAGGAGAGAAAGACAGAGGAAGAGGAAGAGGGAGAGAGAATGGAAGTATTGCTTTATTGCCCAGGCTAGAATGCAGTCTAAAAATGGGTACTGAAAACCTCTTTTCTACAATAATTGTGCTTAATAATGGAGACAGGAAAAAATGAGGAAAGAAAATAACAAAGAAGCAGCCAACCAATATTTCATTTAAACCTGTAAGTAGGTGTGATGTGGTGCTAATAAGAGTGTATATTTTGTGTATTTAAAGTGGAGAGGTCTATAAATGTTTATTAAGTTTACTTGTTCCGGATCTGAGTTCAAGTCCTGAATATCCTTGTTAATTTTCTGTCTCGTTGATCTGTCTAATATTGATGTTGAAGTGTCCCACTATTATTGTGTGGGAGTCTAAGTCTCTTTATAAGTCTTATGTATCTGGGTGTTCCTGTATTGGGTGCGTATATATTTAGGATCATTAGCTCTTCTTGTTGCATTGATCCTTTTACCGTTATGCAATGTCCTTCTTTGCCTCTTTTGATCTTTGTTGCTTTAAAGTCTATTTTATCAGAGGCGAGAATTGCAACTCCTGCTTTTTATTTATTTATTTATTTATTTATTTTTGCTCTCCATTTGGTTGGTAAATCTTTCTCCATCCCTTTGTTTTGAGTCTTTGTGTATCCTTGCATGTGAGATGGGTCTGGATGCAGCATACTGATGGGTTTTGGCTGTGTCTTTTGATTGGGGGATTTAGTCAATTTAAATTTAGGATTAATAATAATATATGTGAGTTTAATACTGCCATTTGATGTTAGCTGGCTGTTTTGCCGATTAGTTGTTGTAAGTTCTTTATTATGTTGATGCTCTTTATTTTTTGGTATATTTTTGGAAAGGCTGATACTGGTTGTTCCTTTCTATGTGTGGTGGTTCTTTCAGAAGCTCTTGTAAAGCAGACCTGGTGGTGATGAAATCTCTGAGTACTTGCTTGTTCACAAAAGATTTTATTTTTCCTTTGCTTATGAAGCTTAGTTTGGCAGGATATGAAATTCTGGGTTAAAAGTTCTTTTCTTTAAGGATGTTGAATATTGGCCCCCACTCTCTTCTGGCTTGTAGGGTTTCTGCTGAGAGATCTGCTGTGAGTCTGATAGGCTTGCCTTTGTGGGTAACCTGACCTTTCTCTCTGGCTGCCCTTAGTATTTTCTCCTTCATTTCAACCCTGGTGAATCTGACGATTATGTGCATTGAAGTTGGTCTTCTTGAGGAATATCTTTGTGGTGTTCTCTGTACTACCTGGAGTTGACTATTATCCTGCCTTGCTAGGTTGGGAAAGTTTTCCTGAATAATATTCTGAAGTGTATTTTCCAGCTTGGATTCATTCTCTTCGTCACATTCAGGTACACCTATCAAGCGTAGATTAGGTCTTTTCACATAGTCCCATATTTCTTGAAGACTTTGCTCATTCCTTTTTATCCTTTTTTCCCTAATCTTTTCTTCTTGTTTTATTATTTCATTAAATTGGTCTTCGACCTCTGATATCCTTTCTTCTGCTTGATCAATTCGGGTGTTAAAACTTGTGCATACTTCGCAAAGCTCTTGTGTTGTTTTTCAGCTTTATTAATTCACTTATATTCCTCTCTAAATTGTCTATTCTCGTTAGCATTTTGTCAAACCTTTTTTCAGAGTTCTTAGTTTCTTTGCATTGGGTTAGAACAAGTTCTTTTAACTCACAGAAGTTTCTTATCACCCACCTTTTGAAGCCTACTTCTGTTAATGGAACACACTCGTTCTCCATCAGGCCTTGTTCCATTGCTGATGAGGAACTGTGATCCCCTGTAGAGGGACAGGCGTTCTGATTTTGGGTATTCTCAGCTTTTTTAGGTTGGTTTCTTCCCTTCTTTATAAATTTATCCATCTGTCATCTTTGTAATTACCGACTTTCCAACTAGGTTTCTGAGTGGACATCCAACTTGTTGATTCCCAGTGCTGGAATCTGAGCAACCCACTGTGCTGGCTAAAACAGTGGTGTTAAGATTGATGGTGCTTTTCTGACTCTGCACCAAGAACCGCCAGGCCCAGGCACCAGCAAAACCGCTACGCTGGCCACAAGAGTCGCGCTGGTGACCCAAGGGGCTCCTCCACTGGGAATCTCCTGGTCTGTGAGCAACAAAAATTCACCTGAAAGTGTGGCGTCCTTTCGTTCTTTGTGCTTTCACTGGGAGCTACAATCCCAAGCTGCTAGTGATCAGCCATCTTGGATCTCTCTCCCTGATGTTTTCCTAAGTGCTGAAAAAAATAAAAATCTGCCATCTAAGAACACTGTATCCTACAAAGCTATCCTTCAAATATGAAGAAGAGATAGTCTTTCCCAGACAAGTCAAAACTGAGAGTATTCACCACCAGTCATATCTTACAAGAAATGCTAAAGAAAGTTTTTCAATGTGAAAGAAAAAAAATACACAAAAAGAAAACAGCTGAATATATATAGAATACACTGATAAAATTACATGTATGGACAAACCCAGAATAGTCTAATACTATGATTGTGATGCACAATCCACTGACATCTGTAGTATGAAGACCAGAAGACAAATCTATCAAAGACAATAATAACTGCAGAAACCTGTTAAGAGGTAAGGAATAAAAATATGCAAGCTGAGACAACTAAGTTAAAAAATGCGTGAGGGTGGAGTGAAAGTGTTTGTTAGTTTTGTTTCTATTCTTTTTTTTTTTCTTTTTTTTTTTTCCCATTTATTTATTTTATTGCATTTTAGGTTTTGGGGTACATGTGAAGAACATGCAAAATTGTTGCATAGGAACACACGTGGCAGTGTGATTTGCTGCCTTCCTCCCCATCACCTACATCTGGCATTTCTCCCCCTGCTATCCCTCCCCAGCTTCCCCCCAACTGACCCCAGTGTGTAGTGCTCCCCTCCCTGTGTCCATGTGCTCTCATCGTTCAACACCCGCCTATGAGTGAGAACATGCGGTGTTTGATCTTCTGCTCCTCTGTCAGTTTGCTGAGAATGATGGTTTCCAGGTTCATCCATGTCCCCTCAAAGGACCCAAACTCATCATTTTTTATGGCTGCATAATATTCCATGGTGTATATGTGCCACATTTTCCCTATCCAGTCTATCGTCGATGGGCATTTGGGTTGGTTCCAGGTCTTTGCTATTGTAAACAGTGCTGCAATGAACATTCGTGTACACGTGTCCTTATAGTAGAACGATTTGTAATCCTTTGGATATATACCCAGTAATGGGATTGCTGGGTCAAATGGAATTTCTATTTCTAGGTCCTTGAGGAATCGCCACACTGTCTTCCACAATGGTTGAACCAATTTACACTCCCACCAACAGTGCAAAAGTGTTCCTATTTCTCCACATCCTCTCCAGCATCTGTTGTCTCCAGATTTTTTAATGATCGCCATTCTAACCGGCGTGAGATGGTATCTCAGTGTAGTTTTGATTTGCATTTCTCTGATGACCAGTGATGATGAGCATTTTTTCATATGTTTGTTGGCCTCACGTATGTCTTCTTTTGAGAAGTGTCTGTTCATATCCTTTGCCCACTTTTGAATGGGCTTGTTAGTTTTTTTCTTGTAAATCTGCTTTAGTCCTTTGTAAATTTTGGATATCAACCCTTTGTCAGATGGGTAAACTGCAAAAATTTTTTCCCAATCTGTTGGTTGCCGATTCACTCTAATGATTGTTTCTTTTGCTGTGCAGAAGCTGTGGAGTTTGATTAGGTCCCATTTGTCTATTTTGGCTTTTGTTGTCAATGCTTTTGGTGTTTTGGTCATGAAGTCCTTGCCTACACCTACGTCCTGAATGGTTTTGCCTAGATTTTCTTCTAGGGTTTTTATGGTGTTAGGTCTTATGTTTAAGTCTTTAATCCATCTGGAGTTAATTTTAGTGTAAGGTGTCAGGAAGGGGTCCAGTTTCTGCTTTCTGCACATGGCTAGCCAGCTTTCCCAACACCATTTATTGAACAGGGAATCCTTTCCCCATTGCTTGTTTTTGTCTGGTTTGTCAAAGATCAGATGGTTGTAGAAAGGTTGTGTTGCCTCCGAGACCTCTGTTCTGTTCCATTGGTCTATATCTCTGTTTTGGTACCAGTACCATGCTGTTTTGATTACTGTAGCCTTGTAGTATAGTTTGAAGTCTGGTAGTGTGATGCCCCCCCGCTTTGTTCTTTTTGCTTAGAATTGATTTGGCTATGCGGGCTCTCTTTTGGTTCCATATGAAGTTTAAGGTGGTTTTTTCCAGTTCTGCAAAGAAGGTCATTGGTAGCTTGATGGGGATAGCATTGAATCTGTAAATTACTTTGGGCAGTATGGCCATTTTCACGATATTGATTCTTCCTAACCATGAACATGGGATGTTTCTCCATCTGTTTGTGTCCTCTCTTATTTCGTTGAGCAGTGGCTTGTAGTTCTCCTTGAAGAGGTCCTTTACATTCCTTGTTAGTTGTATTCCTAGGTATTTTATTCTCTTTGTGGCAATTGTGAATGGAAGTTTGTTCTTGATTTGGCTCTCTTTAAGTCTGTTACTGGTGTATAGGAATGCATGTGATTTTTGCACATTGATTTTGTATCCTGAGACTTTGCTGAACTTGCTTATCAGTTTCAGGAGGTTTGGGGCTGAGACGATGGGGTCTTCTAGATATACAATCATGTCGTCTGCAAATAGAGACAATTTGACTTCCTCCTTTCCTATTTGAATGCCCTTTATTTCTTTTTCTTGCCTGATTGCTCTGGCTAGAACTTCTAATACTATATTGAATAGCAGTGGTGAGAGAGGGCATCCTTGTCTGGTGCCACATTTCAAGGGGAATGCTTCCAGTTTTTGCCCATTCAGTATTATACTGGCTGTTGGTTTGTCATAAATAGCTTTTATTATTTTGAGATACTTTCCATTGATTCCTAGCTTATTGAGTGTTTTTAGCATAAAGGGCTGTTGAATTTTGTCAAAGGCCTTCTCTGCATCAATTGAGATAATCATGTGGTTTTTGTCTTTGGTTCTGTTTATGTGGTGAATTACGTTTATAGACTTGCGTATGTTGAACCAGCCTTGCATCCCCGGGATGAAGCCTACTTGATCATGGTGGATAAGCTTTTTGATGTGCTGTTGCAATCGGCTTGTCAGTATTTTATTGAAGATTTTTGCATCTATGTTCATCATAGATATTGGCCTGTAGTTTTCTTTTCTTGTTGAGTCTCTGCCGGGTTTTGGAATCAGGATGATGTTGGTCTCATAAAATGATTTGGGAAGAATTCCCTCTTTTTGTATTGTTTGGAATAGTTTCAGAAGAAATGGTACCAGCTCCTCTTTGTATGTCTGGTAGAATTCAGCTGTGAACCCATCTGGACCTGGGCTTTTTTTGGGTGGTAAGCTCTTAATTGCTGCCTCAACTTCAGACCTTGTTATGGGTCTGTTCAGGGTTTCGGCTTCTTCCTGGTTTAGGCTTGGCAGGAGGCAAGTGTCCAGGAATTTATCCATTTCTTCCAGGTTTATTAGTTTGTGTGCATAGAGTTGTTTGTAATAATCTCTGATGATGGTTTGAATTTCTGTGGAATCTGTGGTGATATCCCCTTTATCGTTTTTTATTGCATCTATTTGGTTATTCTCTCTTTTCTTTTTTATTAATCTGGCTAGTGGTCTGTCTATTTTGTTGATCTTTTCAAAAAACCAGCTCCTGGATTTATTGATTTTTTGAAGGGTTTTTTGTGTCTCTATCTCCTTCAGTTCTGCTCTGATCTTAGCTATTTCTTGTCTTCTGCTAGACTTTGAGTTTTTTTGATCTTGCTCCTCTAGCTCTTTCAGTTTTGACGATAGGGTGTCAATTTTTGATCTCTCCTTGTTTCTCATGTGGGCACTTATTGCTATATATTTTCCTCTAGAGACTGCTTTAAATGTGTCCCAGAGATTCTGGTATGTTGTGTCTTCATTCTCGTTGGTTTCGAAGAACATCTTTATTTCTGCTTTCATTTCATTGTTTATCCCGTCAACATTCAAGAGCAAGTTGTTCAGTTTCCATGAAGCTGTGCGGTTCTGAGTTAGTTTTTGAATTCTGAGTTCTAACTTGATTGCACTGTGGTCTGAGAGACTGTTTGTTACGATTTCCGTTCTTTTGCATTTGCTGAGGAGTGATTTACTCCCAATTATGTGGTCCATTTTAGAGTAGGTGTGATGTGGTGCTGAGAAGAATGTATATTCTGTGGATTTGGGGTGGAGAGTTCTGTAAATGTCTATTAGGTTTGCTTGGTCCAGGTCTGAGTTCAAGACCTGGATATCCTTGTTAATTTTCTGTCTGGTTGATCTGTCTAATGTTGACAATGGGGTGTTAAAGTCTCCCACTATTATTGTGTGGGAGTCTAAGTCTCTTTGTAAGTCATTAAGAACTTGCCTTATGTATCTGGGTGCTCCTGTATTGGGTGCGTATATATTTAGGATCGTTAGCTCTTCTTGTTGCATTGATCCTTTTACCATTATGTAATGTCCCTCTTTGTCTCTTATGATCTTTGTTGCTTTAAAGTCTAATTTATCAGAGATGAGAATTGCAACTCCTGCTTTTTTTTGCTCTCCATTTGCTTGGTAAATCTTCCTCCATCCCTTTATTTTGAGCCTTTGTGTATCCTTGCATGTGAGATGGGTTTCCTGGATACAGCACACCGATGGGTTTTGGCTTTTTATCCAATTTGCCAGTCTGTGTCTTTTGATTGGGGCATTTAGTCCATTTACATTTAGGGTTAATATTGTTATGTGTGAATTTGATACTGCCATTGCGGTGCTAGCTGGCTGTTTTGCCCTTTAGTTGAGCTGGTACTTGTTTCTTTATATGTGTAGAGCCTCTTTCAGGAGCTCTTGTAGAGCTGGCCTGGTGGTGACGAAATCTCTGAGTACTTGCATGTTCCCAAAGGATTTTATTTTTCCTTCACTTATGAAGCTTAGTTTGGCTGGATAGGAGATTCTGGGTTGAAAGTTCTTTTCTTTAAGGATGTTGAATATTGGCCCCCATTCTCTTCTGGCTTGTAGGGTTTCTGCTGAGAGATCTGCTGTGAGTCTGATGGGCTTCCCTTTATGGGTAACCCGACCTTTCTCTCTGGCTGCCCTTAGTATTTTCTCCTTCATTTCGACCCTGGTGAATCTGACGATTACGTGCGTTGGGGTTGCTCTTCTTGACGAATATCTTTGTGGTGTTCTCTGTATTTCCTGGACTTGAATGTTTGCCTGCCTTGCTAGGTTGGGGAAGTTTTCCTGGATAATATCCTGAAGAGTATTTTCCAGCTTGGATTCATTCTCTTCGTCGCATTCAGGTACGCCTATCAAACGTAGATTAGGTCTTTTCACATAGTCCCACATTTCTTGGAGACTTTGTTCATTCCTTTTTACCCTTTTTTCTCCAGTCTTGCCTTCCCGTTTTATTTCATTGAGTTGATCTTCAGCCTCTGATATCCTTTCTTCTGCTTGGTCAATTCGGCTGTTGATACTTGTGCATGCTTCACGAAGTTCTCGTGTTGCATTTTTCAGCTCCATCAATTCACTTATATTCCTTTCTATTTTGTCCATTCTTGTTAGCATTTCGTCAAATCTTTTTTCAAGGTTCTTAGTTTCTTTGCATTTGGTTAGAACATGTTCTTTAAGTTCACAGAAGTTTCTTACTACCCACCTTCTGAATTCTGATTCTGTCATTTCATCACACTCGTTCTCCATCCAACCTTGTTCCCTTGCTGGTGAGGAGTTGTGATCCCTTTTAGGAGGAGAGGTGTTCTGGTTTCGGGTGTTGTCATCCTTTTTGCGCCGGTTTCTTCCCATCCTTAAAGATTTATCCACCTGTCGACTTTGTAGTTGCTGACTTTCAGATTGGGTCTCAAATCTTTCAGATTGACGTTCTGCTTGTTGATGATGAGGTTATTTCTGTTTCTTGGTTTTCCTTCTGACAGTCTGGCCCCTCTGCTGTAGGTCTGCTGAGGTTCACTCCAGGCCCTGCTTGCCTGGGGTTCACCTGCAGCAGCTGCTGAACAGCAAGGGTTGTTACCAGTTTTCTTCTTCTGCTATCTTTGTCCCAGAAGGATACCCGCCTAGTGTCAATCTGATCTCTCTTTTATGAGGTGTCTTTTTGGATATATAGGGGTCAGGGAGCTGCTTGAGGAGACGGTCTTTTCTTTATAGGAGCTCAAATGGTGAGTTGTGAGCTCTGTTGTTGTTCATTCAGAGCTGCTGGGCAGGTACTTTTAGGTCTGCTGCAGCTGAACTCATAAACTGCTTTTTGTTCCCAGGTGCTCTGTCCCAGGGATTTAGGGCTTTATTTATGAGTTTCCGTTATGCTGCCGCCTTCTATTTTTTTTCCTTCAGACCTGCGCAGCCCAGCAAGGAGGCCGCCTAGTCACTGTCGGCCTATGGCAGCTTTGCTGAGCTGCTGTGGGCTCCGCCCCGCTGACGAGTGAACTTTCCTGCAGTCCTGTTTATATGGGTGTAGTTAGAACTGCTTTGGCGATGGTGGCCCGCTTCTGTTGGGGCGGAGTCTCTGCTGTGGCGGGTTGCCTTGGCAGCGGCAGGCTGCCTCAGCAATGGCGGGTTGCCTTGGCAATGGCGGGCTGCCTTGGTAATGGTGGACGCCCCTCCCCCACGGAGCTGGACTGTCCCGGGTTCAGCTGCGCTTGCTGTGAAACTCTCAATCCAGAGTTTCTGGTTGCTGTTCTTTTGTGGGGTTGGGGCCAGCAGAGCCTGATCGCCTGGCTCCCTGCCTCAGAGCCTTTTTTAAGTTGGTGTTCCAGTCGCCTGTTGAAGAGGCGCCGGGGTCTGTTTGTTTTCCCCTGCGGCCACTCACCGCGCTGGCTTAAACAGCGGCACTGAGGTTTGTGGCGCTTTTTTTTTTTTTTTCTGCCCTGGAATCTACTGTCCTGGTTCTCTGCTCAGTTCCCTTTTTGAACCAGTGTATGGGCGACTTCCCGTGGCTCCAATCGCCAGCCTAAAGGGCCCCCGGACCGGTGTATTTTGTACGGAGAACCGCGGCTCCGGGGCGCCGACAAAGCAGCGGCGCGGGGCAAAGCAGCGGCGCTGGCCGGTACAGCCGTGCTGGTGACCGTGGAGCTCCTCTGCCCGGGAATTTCCTAGTCTGTGGGCAATAAAAACGCGGCGTCCACTCACCCTCTGCGCTTTCACTGGGAGCTGCAATCCTGAGCTGTTCCTAAACGGCCATCTTGGATCGGATCCGGTCCGTTTCTATTCTTTTATGATATAAGTTGTTATCTCGTTAAAATAACTTGTTATATCTATGTTTTCATAAGCTTCATAGTAATCACAACACAAAACCTATGATAGAATCACTAAAAATAAAAAGCATCTAATATATACTACCAGAGAAAATTATATGACCACAAAGAATGACCACAAGAAAAGAAAACAGAGATAAATTTTAAAACAACCATAAAACAACCAACAAAATAGCCATAATGAATCCTTACTTAATAACACTGAGTTTAAATGAAGTCAACTCTCCAATTAAAAGGCAAAAAATGCAGGCCAGGTGCAGTGGCTCATAGCCGTAATCCTAGAACTTTGGGAGGCCAAGGCAGACAGATCACATGAGGTCAAGAGCTCAAGACCAGCCTGGCCAACACAGCAAAACCCCGTTTCTACTAAAAAAGTGTGATGGTGGATGCCTGTAATCCTGGCTACACAGGAGACTGAGACAGGAGAATCGCTTGAATCAAAAAGGTGGAGGTTGCAGTGAGCCAAAATCATGTCACTCTACTCCAGCCTGGGCAACATAGCAAGACTGTCCCCCTCTACCAAAAAAAAAAAAAAAGAAATGCAGGAGTAACTATACTTATATCAGATAAAATAGACTACAAATCAAAGACTACTTTAAAAAGAGTCAAAGGTCACCATATAATGCTAACGGGGTCATTTCATCAAAAGATATGACAGTTCTAAAAATCTATAAACCCAACACCAGAGCTCCCAAAAATATAAATCAAACATTCACTGACCTAAAGGGAGAGGTAGACTGCAATGCAATAATATTAGGAAATTTTAACACCCCCCTCTCAGTAACTGACAGATCATCTAAACAGGAAATCACCAAGAAAATATTAGAATTACACTGCACACTTGATCAAATATATCCAACTGACACGTACAGAAGCACTGCTGCAGAATACTCATTCTTTTTATCAGTACATGGAACAATCTGCAGAATAGACCACACATTTTAGGCCAAAAACAGATCTCAATATATTAAAAAAAAAAGTAGAAATCACATCAAGTATTTTTTCTTACCACAATGGGATGAAACTAGAAGTCAACAATTCGAGAAACCTCAGAAACTACACAAATATATGAAAATTAAATAACGTGCTCCTTAACAACCAAAGAGTCAATGATGAAATTAAGAAGAAAATTTTTAAAATTTCTTGAAACAAGTGAAAATGGAAGCACAATAAATCAAAATCTGTGGTATGCAGAAAAGCAGTACATAGAAGGAATTTTAAAGTAATAAATGCTTTTTTAAAAAAGGTAGAAAGACTTCAAATAAAGAATCTAATGATGACCTCAAAGGATTTAGAAGAGCAAGAACATACCAAAACCCAAATTAGTAGAAGAAAAGAAGTGATAAAAATCAGAGCAGAAATAAATGAAATGAGACTAAAAGTACAACATAGAAGATCAAGAAAACAAAAACAAAAAGCCACTTTTTAAAAAAGAAACACAAATCAGCAAACTTTCTACTAGATGAAGAAAAAATAGAAAAACACTGAAATAAATAAAATTACAAACAAAGAAATCAAACAAAAGAAAATGGAGACAAAACAGCCTATATCACATAGGGTCAGGCATGGTGGCTCATGCCTGTAATCCCAGCACTTAGGGAGGCTGAGGTAGAAGGATTGCTTGAGCCTTGGAGTTCAAGACTAGCGTGGGCAACATAGCAAGATCCTATCTCTATTAAGATACTACCACCACAAACAACAATAGCTGACACCACAAAAATACAAAGAATCATCAGAGATTATTATAAAAACTACATGCTAAAAATTGGAAATGCTAGAAAAAATGAATAAATTGCTGCACAAATACAATCTACCAAGATAGAACCATGAGGAAACAGAAAACCTCAATGAACCAATAATGAGTAATGAAGTTGAAGATGTAATCTTCCTATCTTTAGTACAGCAAAGATCAAGAAAGGAAGAAACAGAATATATGTATATGGCTGTCACCCTTTTTGGGATTGTCCATGCCTTAGTTCAGAACTTCTGTCATTGACATGGCATGGGGCAACTGGCATACTCATACACTTCTGCTGAGATTATCTACTATTTATGGCAAAATATATTTAAGTTAATCTGTGAATATTCTGTGCTTAATAAATCTTCTTATATCTCAAGTTATATTCAGTATTTATTAAAAAGGCAAGAAATGTAAAATACAAAGTTGTTCAAAACCATCTAATTTGCAATAGTCAAAATGTGGCACAATCCAAATATTCATGCAAGTGAAAAGATTAATATATGGTGGTATATACCTAGCAGTGAATGTATCTGCTAATACAGCCTGAGGCTAAATCAGCTCACCTTGTGTTTTTGTACAACCACCAGCTAAAAATATAATTTATATTTTAAAAATAAACAAAATAATTAATAGAGGAACAATATTTTGCGACACATACAATTTTATAATATTTACATTTCCATGTTCAATTTTATTGACACACAGCCATGGTCAATGTCTATGCATTTTCTATGGCTGTGTTTCTGTGCAGAATTCAGCAGTTGTAGCAGAGACTGTATGTCTAACAAAGCTTAAATATTTACTATCTGGCCATTTTTATTTAAAAAAAATTCAAAGTTTTCTATAATAGTGAACTTCTGCTACATATTATGACATTGAAAAATCACACCAGCATAATGTTGAATAAAAGGAAAAAGATACAAAGATGCATGCAAATTGCGTGCTTGTATTTATGATTCATGTAAATTACATACTGTATTTTATAGGTATTTAACTTTGATCATATTTATATAAAGTTTTTTAATAGCCAAAACTAACCTATAGCAATAGAAGTCAACATACTCATTAACATGGACAAGAAAGTGTTGAACAGAAGTGAGATTATCATGGTAAATAATTTTACCATAATAATTTTTGTATCTCCTGATGCCTTACATAGGTCATGTAATTAACAAAATTGATTAATTGTTACCAATTAAATGTTATTATGAATAATGGAAAGAGAATGAGATACTGAGAAAAGATCATGACTGAGACAAAAAGGAATAGAATCATACATAGAAAGCCCTGAAAAATACAATAAAGGATGTAACTTACCGATCGTTACAACAATACAATTAGATATCATTAGCACTGATTATAAAACACTTTTTATGTCGGCTCAGAACACCTGAAAAATAAACATAAAAACATTTAGGAGACTTCTTGTTCCAAAATAATGGTATAAAAGCAAATTGGCTTTAATGCCCCCCACGGAAAACAACAATAACAAATTAGTGCTGTGATTATCACCAGCAATATCCCAGAACTCAAACATGAGGAGACAGTTCCTAGAGGCACAGAAAAGTGAAAAAAGCAAATAAAACTCCATATAGATAATAAGAGAATTAGACTGACATATCTATGATGCCTCTCACTGTAATCTTCCTGGTACCCAAGTATATGGAAACATTGTTTCTACACTGGAAAACATGAGATCAAAATGGATAACCAGCTTCACCACCAGCTTGAGTGCCCTGGCAGGAAGTTTGCCCACCTGCCTTAACACTTGGAAAATCAGGGGTGCCCTGAAGGGAGACATATCTCTGCAGAGACAAAGTAGGGGGGCAAGACTACCATCCCCAGTACCAGAAACTCTGCTGTTACCTGGACAAAGAAGATGTCAACTTAGAGGGGCTGCCAAGCAACATTATGCTATAGGAAGTTCATTCCACAAGTCCTGTGGGCTGGAATCCTAGTCAGGCTCCCAACACTACTGGCATACCCCTTTGGAACCTCTCCCATTTGGTATGGGTGGCACTCTGATTGTTTACTAGGATCAAGACAAACATGGGTTAAGGTACCATGTAGTCATAAAAGGGAGGCAGAAACACAGACCCCCACCCCCCAAAAAATCAACGGGTAAATTACAAAGAACATTTAAATAAATATATTCAATATAAACCAAAACAAGCCGTATAAAATCCTTCAACACAAAAACATAGATGAATACCCATAAGAAATAACAGCAAACAGGGAACTGTGATACCCTCAAATGGAGAAAGTTGGAACCAGAGACAGACGTTAATGAGATGGCAATATTTGAGTACTTGTACCAAGCATTCAAAA